CACTAATGCACCACTGGTAAGGTTGTACATGAGTCCAATTATTCTTTTTTTAAAATTTATTTATTTTTAGTTTTCAACATTCATTTCCACAAGATTTTGAGTTCCAAATGTTCTCCCCATCTCGCCCCTTCCCTCATCCAAATCCAACTATTCTTGAGAACAATTTAGAACTATGTCCAAAAGGTTATCAAATGGCTGGGTTTTACCCAGGAATACCAACACAAGGTATGTATCCCAAAGAGATCAAAGAGAAAAGGACCTATTTGTACAAAATATTTATAGCAGGCTTTTTTTTTGTGTGGTGGCAAAGAATTGGAAATTTAGGGGATGACCATCAGTTGGGGAATGGCTGCACAAGCTGTGGTCTATGATTGTGATAGAATACTATTGTGCTATAAGAATTGATAAGGATGGTTTCAGAAAAACCTGGGAAGATTTACCTGAACTCATGCAAAATGAAGTGAACAGAATCAGGAGAACATTGTACACAGCAACAGTAATACTGTAAGGGTGATTAATTGTGAAGGATTTAGCTATTCTGATGAAGACAATTCTAAAGAGTCCATAATGAAAAACGTAAACCACTTCCAGAGAGAGAAATGATGAACTGATAAAAGCAGATTGAAGCAGATTTTTAACTTTATTTTTGTTTTATTTTGTTTGCCTTTTCTTTTGCAACATGGCTAATATGGAAATATGTTTTGCATGACTTCACATGTATAATCCATATCAAATTGCTTGCTTCTCAAGGAAGGGGGAGGGGCAGCAAGGAGGGAGACAATTTGGAACTCACAATTTTTAAAAAAAGATTATAAAAGTTTTACATATAATTAGGAAACATTTGACAAAACAAAAATAATTTTAAAATAATGTAGTGTTATCTAGTATAATTGTGTTTTATTATTTTTTGGATATTTCATTTTTCCTAATTACATATAAAAACAATTTTTAACATTAATTTTTTAAAAATTTGAGTTCTAAATTCTCTCTCTTTCCCTTTTCTCTCTCTGAAATAGTTATACATGTGCAACCATGCAAAACATATTTCCATATTAGTCATATTTTGAAAGAAAACATAGACCAAGTGGGAAAAAAACCAAAAAGTGAAAAATAGTATACTTCCATCTACATTCAGAATCCATCAGTTCTTTCTCTGAAGGTGGATAGCATTTTTCATGAGGAGTCCTTTGGAATTGTCTTTGATCATTGTATTTCTGAGAATAGCTAAGTCATTCATAATTGATCAGCATACATTATTGCTGTTACTGTGTACAATTTTCTCCTGGTTCTGCTCATTTCACTTTGCGTCAGTTTATTATCTTGCTCAACATATTTTATAGCACAACAGAATTCCATTACAATCATATAGCACAACTTGTTCAGCTATTCCCCAACTGATAGACAACCCCTCAATTTCCAGTTCTTTGCTATCACAAAAAGCGCTGCTATAAATATTTTCATACAAATACATCCTTTTCCCTTTTTAAAAAAAATTTCTTTGGAAAACAGACCTAGTAATGGTATTGCTGGATCAAAGAGATGTGCAGTTTTATAGCCCTTTGGGCATAGTTCCAAATTGCTCTCCTGAATGGCTGGATCAGTTCACAACTTCAAAAAAAGTGCATGTGTTTCAATTTTCCCACATACTCTTGAACACTTATTTTTCATCATGTTATCCAATCTGATAGGAATGAGGTGTATCTCAGAGTTGTTTTAATTTACATTTCTATAATCAATAGTGATTTAGAGCATTTTTCATATGACTATTGATAGCTTCGATTTCTTCTAAAAACTATCCTTTGATCATTTATCAATTGGGGAATTAATTGTATTTTTATAAATTTGACTCAGTTTTCTGTATATTTGAGAAATGAGGATTTTGTCAGAGACACTTGCTACAAATTCCCTCCCCTTCCTCACCCCAGCTTTCTGCTTTCCTTCTAATCTTGGTTGCATTGAATTTTTTTTTTTGTGCTTTCTTTGGTCATAAATTCTACCCTTATCCATAGATCTGACAGGTAAACTATTAATGCTCCCCTAATTTGCTTACGGTATCACCCTCTATGTTTAAAGTGTATAGTCATTTTGACCTTGCCTTGGTATATGGTGTAAAATGTTGGTCTGTACCAGGCCTACACAACCTGCAGCCTGCTTACAGCCCATGGGCCACTTGTAGCATACCAAAGGATTTTGGACAGCCCACCAAAAAAAAATCCTCTACATATTTCATGGGCTGCCCAAAATCCTTTGGCATGTTGCAAGTGGTCCACAGACTGCAGGTTGTGCAGGACTGGTCTATATCTAGTTTCTGTCATACCATTTTCCACTCTTCCCAACAGTTTTTTTTTTGTTTTTTGTTTTCTTCTTCTGAGTTTGTGTTTCGATTTTTCCCTGTCAACCAAATAACTTGGCTATGGTCAGATTAATTTTCTTTCCTTCCCCCCCCCCTTATAGTACTAATACTACATTGGAGCCATTATTTCATGACTTTGAACTTTATGTTAAAGTTGGGCTCTGCTTCTGAGGTGGAGGAGGCATTGTCCCAAGCTTCTTTCACTGGAGGCCTGGGGTCTCATTTCTGGCCTGTGCTGGGGTATTGGGCTTTCCTGCTGACTTGCTGGGGCATGGCTTGCTGCTAGTTTGCCTGGCTATCACCTACACCGGACTGTGCTCCCCTTTTATTCAGTGAGACAAATCTTTCCTCCTGACTTTCTAAGTTGTAGTACGTTGGAAAATTGTTTCACCCTGTCCTTTTGTTTGTTCTTCCACTCCAGAATTCATTTTGAAGTGTTATAGTTGTTTGGAGGTGAATTTCTGAGAGCACAGGCAAGTTCTGGCATTCTTCTTCTGTCCTGGCTCAGGCCTTTTAAAATTTATTTTGTTAAATATTTCCCAATTACATTTTAATCTGGCTCAGGCCTCACTCAGGTGTGGTGGGTAGCATGTATTTAACCCCACTTCTCTAGAAGAACTTAGGACCTTGCCACCAAAGTGATGGAATCCTAATAAAGTTGCCTCCAGCCTCAATATTCTAACTTCCATGTGGACCCCACTGAACCACAGACATGCCATGATTTGACTATACAATCTAGCTTTGACTGCATCACAGGCCTCCAAACTCAATCATAAGCCTCACTGAAGAGCAAGCCCACTGCCTCTAGCTAGCCACTGCTCCCAGATTCTATCCTCTAGCTAGCCTCTGCCCCTAGATCCAATTCACATATTTCCCACTGAAACAAAGCATCCATGCATTCAACCACAACCGAATCATCCATTTAGCTCAAGATAGGACCACAATACCTAACTACCTATCTTGACCAGACAGGACCGAAATAGCTAGTCAATAAGAAAGCAGCACCACCTGGAAGCAAACTAGGATGCTTGACCACTAAACCATAGAAGATGCCCCCCAAATAGCACCTATGCAGTAATAGCAAAGAACTGACCTAGAGTAAACTTATGACATAGAGACACTTATTATAATATCATTATCATATATAAATGCCCCCTCTTTGGGTTTTTCTGTATGCATTGTGGGTAGCTGCATGCAAAATTCTACTGAGGCTTTGACCTATCCCCTACTACCTAATCCCTTAACAACCCCCTCCTGCCTTTTTAATATTAATCATATTCCTAAGGTCTATGTAAATTTTGTTTGCATGATCAGCATCATATACTCTATAAATTTGTCTGTCTTGCCTTACTGAAATCACTAATTCCTCTAAGGAACTTAGCCGTTCACTAGAGCATGAAACCTCAAAACCATAATAAATCTCTCTAACTGGCTTAGAGTCGGCCTGAGTCTTTGAAATTCTTTTAAGATGTCCTGCCACAACACAATCTACCTCATCAAAAGGGTATAGTGTGGTTGGAGCCACATATTTTAGAATTCCCACCACACAGCTTAAGATAATTGTTCTTTAAAAGGGAGGGAAGCTTTCTCCAAGACTTGTCCAATTTTCCTTCCTGTATCCCTTGTCTTGTATTCTAAAGTTTATTGAGAAGAAGACTCTCTGCTCTCCACTAAAAGTGAGAAGTGGATTACCTTGCTTGCTACTTTATGCCTTGGCTGTTAGTGAAGAAAGAAAAGAAGTGTTCATAGAATGTCCAGCTACTACCTTTCCAGCTGCCATAGCCGTCAGTGGCTGTGGATTTTGTGAAATATGGAATTCTACAAAACAAGGAATTTGTCTGGATAGTGATTATCTGGGAGGATTAGAAGGTAAAGCAGGGAAGGGTGATGGTAGGGGATGTTGAACGGTCATCAAAACCCTGAAAAACTTGTAAGGAGTCTACTTTCAGGGTCAGTATAGAGCAGTTTCCTACATAGGCTGATGAAGATGCTGCTGCTGCCCACACCTCCAGCTGACAGAAGAAAAATAAACTAACCAACCCACCCACCAACCCATCACTTATCATCAAACATAAACTAGCAACCCTTCCAAACTTCATTCCCCTGTCATACAGTGCTTCTGAAGGTGCTGTAATGAAAAGGCAATTCCAGACAGCAGATGGGGCACAATTCACTTTCCCTCCAGCCCCACCATCTTCCCTTGGATGTGGACTTTGGACTCTGTATCCTGCTTGGGGACATTGATCCCTCCATTCCTGCTCCTAGACCCTAGTACTTGAGAACGGCCCTGGGAAGCTGAACTTGTGGTTGATTCCTTGAGAGTTTCATAGATATTGTTTTCTCCCTTCCTTCCTCCTTTCTTTTCCTTTTTCTTCCTTCCTCCCTCCCTCCCTTCCTCCCTCCCTCCCTTCCTTCCTTCCTTCCTTCCTTCCTTCCTTCCTTCCTTCCTTCCTTCCTTCCTTCCTTCCTTCCTTCCTTCCTTCCTTCCTTCCTTCTTTCCTCCTTTTTTTCCCTTTTTTCCAACGGTACTGATATTAAATAGAAGCCTCTAGACTTCCTTTGGAAACTTGGGCTCCTGCAGCCTTCTCTCCTCTACCCATTTTTTTTCCCTTCAACGGTCATACTTAGCTAGGCCATAAGCTTCTTAATCGGCTCCTGTCATCGGCTGCGGATAGCTTTCAGCTCTGAATTTGTCTTTGTAAGGTCTTTCTGCTGCTTATTTCTCGGGACAGCTAACAAGATAAAAGAAAAAAAAAAGGTTTGGAAGACTGGTCAGCAGCGAAGCCTGGAGAGGGAAGTGATGCCCACCCACTCTCACAAAGGACCGTAGCGGCGTAGACTGAAATTTCCTAGGTCTCCTGCAAAAACGTATAAAGTTTCTGTGAGATTTGGGGACTTGGGAGAGAAGACCACTCCAGCTATAATTTAGCAGCCGTAGGAAAGGGACCGATCTCCTATTATTTAGAAATGTGTGCGTGATTTAGATATTTAGAAATTGGTGTGTGAGCGTGAAGAAAAACTTAGCAATCAAGAAAATTATCCTCCCCCCTCTAAAGTGACACAGAAGACCTCGGAGCTTAACTCCCTGGTGCAGTATCCGTCTAGTTGCGGGACAGGAGGAAGGCGCACTCCCTCTTTAGCCCAGGTTCTTTTCTCATCACTCAGCAACGCACTCGCCTCAGCATTTACAAAGCCTGCGGAGAGAAAGGAGAAACCTCCCTAGCGCCTTCTCCAGCTCCCAGGGGCAGAAAGAGCAGCAGCGGGGAGGGAGAAACGCAGCTGCGGCCGTGAGGATGGCGGACGTCTTCAGCGGCCGGATCCTTGTCAACAAGGATGGGGACACGGTGGAGCCCGAGGAGGTGCTGCAGAACAAAGTGGTGGGGTTGTACTTTTCGGCAGGCTGGTGCTCCCCTTGCAGGGACTTCACTCCACTCCTCTGCGACTTCTACACGGAACTGGTGGAAGAAACCCATCCGCCGGCCCCCTTTGAAATAGTCTTTATCTCCTCTGACCGTAGCCCGGAGGAGATGGTAGATTATATGCACGACATGCACGGGGAGTGGTTGGCCCTGCCTTTTCACGACCCCTTCAAACAGTGAGTAGGGGAAGGGAAAGAAGAGGTTGGGGAGAAAGGGGAGAGATTCTGCGAGAAAGGACATCCCTTTGTAATCCAGCCATATGGTCTCTTCCTCTTCCATAAAAATAGATTAATTAAGTGCCATAATAATCCCTTCCCCGGTAAAATACTCTCTTCGAGTTCACAGAATGTTCTTCTTTAATTGTTAGCTAATGAGCCTATTTCAAGCAGAGATGCTTTTCTTAGCCTCTCCTTACCACACGGTTAAAAGGTGGAACTTGATCTTGAGCACTTGTCAGTTCTTTTGAGGTGTGTTCATAGTTAAGTGTTAGGGCTCTTATAGGTACTATCCAGTATATCTTCTTCTAGCCTTTTGATTTAGTTTTCTAAAGCATCGTGAAACAAAAGCAAATGAACACTAATAGCTGGAACTTTGCAGCTGGAGTGGCTGAACAGTGAATGGTTTGAATATGGAACAGGTAGATGTTTATTGTAGTGTAATAAATATCACTAGTGTCAAGTATCTTGGAAAGTTATTTTGTCATATAAAATCTGCTTAGAATAAATGGTTTGTTTCTTGATGGTTAGTGATCTTAGATTTATAGCTTGTTTTTATTTGTTGTCTCTAAGCTTTTAAGATTTGTACCTTAGGAAGGAAGTGTGATGTTGTGCATAGAGTGCAGGATGTGGAATTAGGAAGACCTGGGTTCAAATCCTGTTTTAGACTCCAACTGTGTGATTTAAGTCACATAACCTCTCTGTACCTTGCCTGCAAAATGAGGATGTTGGACTTGATTACTGTAAGATCCCTTTTACTTCTAAAGCTATGGTCTCTATGATCCAAAGAAAACTGAGAGTCATATTAATCTCTAGGCTTACATTTGAAAGGAAGATCAGAAAAAACTAGGAAGAATCCTGGCAAGGTCCCTTACCCATAGTAAATGTAGAGATTATAGCATCCTTCCTATTCCCTATTTGATTTACTCACTGGAAATTTTATAGCCCACTGCTTTTGCTGTGGTTTTTGCAGTGTTAGTGACGCTGTATAACAAGAGGAAGATTGACTAGGAAGTGATGATTTGGAGTACTTTCTAGTGAGTATCTGTTAAATTATTTTTCAAGGAAGGGTTTTATTTCAGATCACAAGCCTTCTCTGCTTTATTAAATGGTCCTAGAAATTGTGTAGCTAAAAAAAAATCATTATCTGGTGACTATCCTTTAGTGATGAGATTTCCTTCGGGCTTAGCTAGATTGATTCTTGGGGAACAGATATTTAGCTCATAGCCAAGCCTGCTCTCAAAGTCTTTCCTGTTTATAAAACCTACCAGAATTTGTTCTCTAATAGACCAAATGTTTGAAAAACCTAGTTTACTTTGAGGCATCAAAGTAGGACTTCAGCTAGTTGGTTTTTTTTTTAATTTACCTGACACAATCAGGTGGGTGAAATTATTTAAATTGTTAATTTCTCTTATATTTATCAGTTTCTCCCTCTCTTTTGTTCCCTTTTTACCTTGCACATTTAAGCAATTAGTTCAAAATCTTCCTTCTTCACCACCTTTCTGTAGCAAGAATTTTCAGGGTCCTAGCTAGCAGCCATTTCATAAATAAACCAGCATAGTTTACTCACAGACAGGTACATTGCATTTTAACCACTCGAGTGTGATGCACCCACAAAGTAGGTGATTGATATGTGTGTCTCAAAATTCCAAATATTGATGTGCACATATCAGGTAGGTCACATAGGCAGGCTTACAAAGCAGTTCGGGGTAAAATCAAGGTGTCCAGGTAGGTACAGGAAAAAGTACATTTTTAGTAAAAAATAAAAAAGGGATGGTTAAACTGTTACAAAGGCCTTGAGCATAGTTATTTTTTACCAGACCAAAGAAAGTGGTATATTTATCAATCAGTTAATTAACCTCTGTTAAAGCTCCTACTGTGTGCCTTATTAGATAGGATAAAGAGAAGTGGGTAAGTTTCTAGGAACTACTTAAAATTGTATAAATTACCTTTTGTAATTGTAAAGTGATTGGGGCAGCTAGGTGATGCAATGGATAGAGTGCCAACCCTGAAGTAAAAAGACTCATCTTCTTGAGTTCAAAACTGGCCTCAGACACATAATAGCTGTGTGACCCTAAGCAAGTCACTTAACCCTGTTTGCTTCATTTTTCTCATTTGTAAAATGAGCTGAAGAAGGAAATGGCAAACCACTACAGGATCTTTGCCAAGAAAACCTCAAACGAGGTCATAAAGTGTCAGACACAACTGAAAACAACTGAACAACAAAAGTTATTGGGGGAAGGGAGATACTGAAGGAGACATTCATTACTTGCAGTGTCACATAGAAAAAGAAATAAAATAGCAGCAAATATAACACAAAATAGAGTCAGTGATGTTTTCCCCAAATTGGCTTTCAGTACCTCTAACCTATTTTAGTAACTTCATTTTACTATACCCTTTCCTAAGACTTTTTCCTTTGCTTTGTTCTCACAGCTAGGTAGTTCAGTAAATAGAGTTCTGGGATGGTAATCAGAAAGACCTGATTTCAAATGTGGCTTCACACATTTAATAACTGGGTGACCTTAAGCAAGTTATTGAACATTTTTTTGGTCTCAGTTTCCCCAACTATAAAATGGTGACAATAATAACACCCACCTGGCAGGGCTGCTTTGAGGTCAGATGAGATTTGCAAAGGGCCTGGCTTTTAGTAGGCACTATATAAATGCTATTATCATCATCATTATTATTTCTCTTTCTTCTGATTCATGGGCCATGAATCTAATTCTATTCCCTCTTGTGTCCCTCATGGAGACAAAGCTTTTGAAGTACTAGGTTTGAGCTCTCTCAAACTGCAATTGTCTTTGTAGATCACATCCTTTCAATCTGTTATTTCCTGCTGTTCCTGATATGCCTCACTTAGAAAGAGCAATTTACAGGGGAAACAGTGTTGTTTGGTAGAAGTCAGCCTGTGTCCCTAATTGTGAGGCCTGGCCCTGTCTTCACCATGATCAGCCCTCATTCCAAAGGTCATGCAATATCTTCTTTCTGTCTTTATTCACCCCAACACTCTAGGTACTAGTTGCTCCCAGGAAATCACACATCCTGTCTCCCAGGGTAGGATGCCTCCCAAGGAGTCACTACATTCTTAGATAGTCCAGCTTCCCAAAGATCAGACTCTCCCTGGACTAAACCCATCACAAGGACCTACTATCCCATACCCTTCTCTAGGGCAAAACCCACATACTCAATCCCTATGTTACAGTATTTCCCCTCTAACACTTCCATTCCATATCCCAAATCTTTACTGAGAAACTAGAAATATTGCTTTCTACAGCAGCGTTCACCCCAGGATTTAGTAGCAATGCATCACCCCTCCTTTTCTGTTGCCTTGTCCACTTCTGTATATTTATGCAACATCATTGCTACTATTTCCAACCACTGAGGTTGGAGGATTCATCAGTTCAACTCCTCCTCCTTTGATTTTCTTGAATCTTAAATTTCCCCTTAGATCTCTAACCTTCTAATCTAGACTATGGGAAGAGGGTAGTTAGCTAGAGGAAGACAGATCCCCACAAACACGCTGGTAAATAATTAAAAATATCCCAGGATGAACAATGATAAGCAAAACCAAAAAGAGACAGCCATAAGGTTGGTAGAAGGAACAGAGTTCAAGCAGGGCAGACCAGAGCAAGAGATAGGGCCACACCAGTGCCCAGGGCCGGGCTTGAGCAGTCCAAGGCTCAGCCTCTGAAGGAGATACGGACAGATTAGTGTTGGCCTCAGGGCTAAGACATCCTGCTCTGTGAGACAACTCACTGCTGCAGAAGAGAGGACTGAAAGAATGCTCAAGCAAACTGTGTTTAACCCAGCATCCAGGCAGTCCTTGCTAACTCCAGAGCCCAGCTGATCTGACCGGCAGGAGGAGACAATGCTATCCCACTTCCCAGGAACTCTTATGCCCAAGCCACAGTAGGAGAAAGTGAATCACACATATGGTCTTACAGGAGGCCTGCTAACAGCACAACCAAAATCATCTGGCTGGGGAAATAAGGCTTAGTGATAGCCTTTGTATCTAGGATTAAGCAGAGCCTGCCTACATCATCCAAAGAACAAGAGGGAGGACAGTCTGACCCAAACACAAAGCCCCAATCCAGAAACTGAGACTGGGAATTGAAGTAAACAGAAGGAAATGCTAAATACAAAAAAGAAGTACATTGGACTAAGAGAAGCCCAAGGGATAAACCCAGAAGAAAAAAGCAAGTCCATAACAAGTCCATATATAGCCTCAAAGGAAAAAATGACCTGGCCACAAGGACTATAGAAGTAATGAAACAAGAGATACAAAATATCATATTAGAGAAAATGATAACTAGAGTAGGAAAGAAGGGCAAGAAAATTAATAACTTAGAATAGGTAGTGTTATAAAATAAAAAAATTAAAATAAAAAAACAGGAAAAAGTAAAGTGTATACCTTAAAAAAACTGATCTACAAAATAGAACAGTGAGAAATAATCTAAAAATTATGGAATTATGTGACTTATAAAAGCCAAGATGTTGTATTACTAGAAATAATGAATGAAAACTGTTTAGTCCTATTGAGGAATGATTGTAGGCTCAAAACCTAGGTATTGTACTTGATACCTCACTCTTTCTCACCTGCCACCCCAATATCCAATTTGTTGTCAAGGCTGTTGATTTCAGTTTTGCAACATCTCTTGAATGTGGCATCTTTTTTAAAAAAATCATTTTTTACTTTGCTTTATTCTTTCTCCTTTTTTTCTTTAAATTTCATTAATTTATTTTGATTTATCAACAATCACTTCCATATGCTTTTGAGTTGAAAATTTTTCTCCCCCTTCCTCCCCCCCACCCTCCCCAAGACGTTGCACAATCTGATATAGGCTTTACATTTACATTCCTATTAAACATATTTGCACATCAGTGAAGTTGTAAGTAAAAATTAAAACCAACAGGAGGAATTGGTATAATAACAACAATAACCACCTGCCACCAAATGCTAC